AAAATGTGATCATTTTTTGCATAATTTCTGATTGTTTTCCTTTATCATTGTTTGTTAAAATTAACAGAATCGCATTATTTCACATTTTTAGGGCTCAGTTTGCATAATTTCATAATTTCTTTTTTGGATACAACCGCGAGGACAGTTTTATGTGTATATTACTATCTAATAACACATCTAATCTTCTACACTTATGGGATCTACACGTCTTGCAAGTGCCGTAAAACTCAACTCAACTCAACTCAACTCAAATAAAATAAAATAACTAAGCTCAAACCTACCTGTCGTAATCAAGAACTGTGTGCAGGCGATGGGCAATGGTGATGATGGTGCAATGACTAAATTCTGTGCGAATTGTTTTCTGGATGAGCTCATCCGTTTCCATATCAACGGCTGCTGTGGCTTCGTCCAGAATCAGGATAGGTGTTTTCCTCAGCAGCGTTCTCGCCAGACACACGAGCTGTCTCTGACCCATGCTGGGGACATCATAAGACAGAACTTAGAGAGATACAGTCGAAATTGTCCAAGAAACGACCATCCATTGTCGAGGATAAAAGTGGTTTCTTACTCAACTGACATGTAGGCGTTTGGACTGTGTAGTTTTTATTATATTAATATAAAGAAAAAAAGCCGCAAGGGAGGAAATGGGAAGTGGTCGTTTGTACAGGTGATTGCCATGGACAGGTGGTCGCAAGAGCAGGTTCGAATGCATAGGCATCGTGGTGAAATCAGGCGCTCATCAAAATAATGAAATCAAAGAAACGCATTTTTCTGGCCTTTGGGCAATATTTTTTCTTAAAATTTTTTTTTGCTCAACACCTTTTATGTCCATTTAAAAACACATTTCCGTGTTTATTTAACAGAAAAACCATTGATTAAAGGCACAAAAACTGTAAATTTTCAGTTTCCCAGGATTCTCAAGCTATGGAAATGAACAAACTTTGGCGGTCACTTTCTTGCTAATTTTACCGCAGAAAGTCAGGAGGCCCTCATCTCAATCACAAATATCTTGACTTCTATTCAACACAGATTGACTTTTTTTTTCCCCCCAAAAGCGAGGCAAAAGAACTGGCTGTAAGTTGATGCCCCAAAACTAACGATCACCCGATTCCACCATGTTGTGGCTCATTTAAATATACATCAACATTTAATTTTATTTCATATTGGATTTTGACGATTTATATAGATCTAGGAAAACTTCATGGTTTGATCTGAAAGATACATTTATTTGTACCCAAAAAACAAAAACAAACCTCCCCAAAATTTTTAAAAATAAAATAAAGCAATAAACATGATTTTTTAAAAGATGATGAGAAGATGAAATTTTTGTTTCCCATTCCTATTGTAGTTGGCAGTCACTTTCTCAGCAGACAAAAAAAATACGTAGAATAACTTCTCCACTCCGACAGCAATTTGAGAGTCATTAGGCTCTATTTCTTGACGACTAGTTCTTAGTAATGTTAGTTGACCAGCGTCTCGTATATATACGTACGGCAACAGATAGGCTCTACGCCTCCGCACGCAGAAAACGTGGGTTTGATCCCTTTGTGGGATGTTGGTTGTTTTTTTTTTCTCTCTCCAACCACCCCCCTC